GAATGTGTGCCACAAATTAGGAGACATCCAAGGGGTCCCCAGCATGGCTCATGAGCAGGGTCAGGGATGCGATTAAGAGAAAAGTGGGTTTTCTTTGGAAACTAGGTGTCGTGCCCAAATGAGGAGAACAAAAATGTGTAGAAAAGAACTGCAAGCAAAGGATTTTGAGGGGTACTTCTCTGCCATCGAAGAATTCTTCAAATATAGCAAAAGTGGAAAACCCACTTGGGAGGCAGTTGGACCATACAGCAGCAACGAAGTTAAAAGGGTACTAGAGCAGGAGGAAATCGTGCAGGTGAATGAGTGCTTTTCATCGCCTTTCAGTGCAAAAGTTCTATGGTAGACCCATGTCTAGAGTGGCATTTTCGGGAAGGGAATCTGAGACAAGCTGTGTGGACAAAAGGTGTGGTGCAGGAACGCAGATTTGAAATGGCTAGAAATGGCAGGACGAGGCCATTGTGCTTGGGCACACCACGAGAAGGCAGAACGCCCTGGAGGAGACCATCGTGCCGGGAGAGTCAGAGGCGGGGGCAAGGAAGCCCAGATGTGAGATGGCCACAACCGTGAAGATGCAAGGGCTGAGAGGGGCTGTCATGGATGGGCCATTCGGAGGGCTTCCATTCATAAGCTCTCCATTAGTCGGAGATGACTGGGTGAGGCATAACAACAACAACAACAAAAATCTTCTGGTGGGATTTGTCCCCCAGGACTGAGGTTTTGCACCGCGAAAATAGGCTTTTGGTCTGTTTCACCATGGCTGTTCTTACCATGGAGCAAAGGACACTGGAGTTCCACCTCTCGGTTCTGAAAACCTGTTTCAACAGTGGAATAAGCTGGCCGGGGAGGGTTGTGTTACTTCTTTTCTGGAGCGCTTCGTCCATCAGGGCCGCTCTGTGTCCAGGAGGGCCCTCGCTCAGGGAGCAGGAGGTCGACCTGGCCCTTGCTGGTCCTCTGGCTCCCCTCCCAGCTTCTGAAGCCTTTTCATGGCTCGCCAAGATGCCGCAGAGCTGCGCAAAACTCTTGGAAGCCTACAAGGGAAAAACGAGAGCCGCCTTGCCCACATCACTTCTTAAGCACACCAAATCATTATGCTGCTGTTGTGGGCAGCCAACACCTGTAATGAGCACTCCCCTGGCTCTTGTGGCAAGACAAGCCCTCTTCATGAACTGGGGCAGCCCAGGCTGACTGCGCCGTGGTTCCACTGAGGGGAAGGATCCTCGACCGAGCTGGCTGGCCCCGTTGTGAGAAGCGTGGGATTTCCTGTCTATCGGACCTTCTGGATGTGGGGCTTGGGCTGAGCCGGAGACGGCGATGCTTCTCCTAGCTGCAGAATCTGGTGGTAGCTCCGAAGTGCCTTGGGCATCCCGGCCTTGTTGGGTCCTGCAGGCTGAACACGTTCTGCCCGGAAGCTCTCCCTTCTGACGCTGGCGCCTGTTTCCCCCTTGCCCCTCCTTCATTGGGTTGTAAATGGCAGCATAAAACAAGGAGGGAAAAGACCATGTTGGCTCCCTTGGGTTCCTTGCAAGGGGAAGAATGCCAGCCAGGATGAGGATGAGGCTGATGATGATGCATTACATTCATAACACCTTTCCTCCCCTTGCAAGTTGCCCAGGGTGGCTTGCAAGGTTCTCCTCTCCGTTTGCTGCTCGCAACAACAGCCCTGCGAAGTAGGTTGGGCTGAGAGTCTGTGGTTGGCCCAAAGCCATCCAGCGAGCTCTGTTGCTGAGTGAGGGCTTGAACCTGCGTCTCCCAGGTCCCCAGTCCGAAACTTGAACCGCCGTGCTGCACTGATAGGAGTTTTCTCTCAATTCTATACATGGGTCCCTTCAGATTTGTGTGCCCTTTTCCCTGAAAGGGTCCCAATCCATTTTGGGAAAGTGGCACATGGCTAAGGCTGCAGTCCTGTACATGCCTTGTCTCCAGGATGGGGAAAACCAGGTGGGGCAGACCCTACCTGGGACAGGACCATGCCTCCTACACTCCTGCTCTCCCCCACCCTCTTTTATCTCTCTCCTCCCTCCCACTTCCTTCCCACTCTGCAGGCTGCCTCTCTCTAGTATTATTATGGGATGTTTGCAGGAATCATTCACCTCTGTGTATTCACGGAAAACTGTTCCTTTCACTCTGAAAAGAAAAGTCATAATAAGATGGGTAGAGCTCAGACCTGAAACATGGTTTTAAGGTTGTACTTTATTGAGCATGATTGTTTGTGCTTTTATTTCTTTAACTGTACTGTGGATCACTCTGGAACACGTTTTAATGAAGGACTATACACAAATGCTCTCAAGAAAAAAAATTGCAAAATGCCTTTTGTGTAAATCACACAAAACAACAGGTTGAGGGTGAAATCGGGAACTGGGCATGGAATTCTAACATGTGAACATGCAGGGGAGAACCTGCTCATGGGAGGAATCCCTGCCGTAAGTGAAGCGGCACTAGGATTCAGAATTTTACATGTTACTATTAATATTTGCACATCGCACGGAAAGACAGCTGGTGCGAATACACCCTCAGCAGAAGGAAGCGGAAGGCAACCCCTTCCGTAGTGCAGGACTCCACGAGAAACAAAAGCTGCACGGAGCTCTCGGCAGCTCATTCAGGAATTGGGTGTGTGCTTCCTCCCCTCCAAGATCTGCTGGAGGAGGCGTCCTACCTGCACCAGGGTCGCTAAAGAGTATGCCGGTGAATGGGCAGAAGAGAGCCTGCGAAAATTAAGGGCAAGAACGGCCAGACGCAGTGCCAGTGTGATCTTGTTCAATAGTTCTGCTATTATTACATCTGGAGTTCTCCGTCTTTCTTCTTACAAGGAACCCAGGCTTGCACGATCCTTCTCCTCTATTTTATCCTCACAACAACCCTGTGAAGTAGATTAGGCTGAGGGTCTGCGATGGGCCCAAAGTCACCCAGTAGGCCTCATGGCCGAGAGGGGGTAGAACTCCGGACGCCCAAGTCTGAGTCCAGCACTCTAATTGCCTTACCCTATTGGCTCTCTGCGAATTTCAGATATGCCTTTTCCAGGCCACTGAGGCCAAACATTGGGAGAAAAATGATTTGCTTTCCCCAGCCTGGTGCCCTCCAGACTTTTGGGAGTGCACCACCCCAAATTTCTGACCACTGGCTATACTGGTTGGGGTTGATAGCACTTGAAGTCCAAAAACTTTGGGGAATGGGGACCAGATTGGATAAGGACGGTCTGGAGGTTGTGTTTCTGGAGCTGGTGGTGTTGGAATGCCCCCCCCCCCCCGCACAACTTAACCAGAGCAAGGGCTCATATTTTTAAATGTTCTTTTCAAAAATGAAGCGGGTGTCAAGGATGGGCCTACGAGGAGACGGACGTTCCTCTGGTGATGTGAAAGAGACGGGCAGGCGGCCTTCCTCATGAACTGGAGGAAGGACAAAGCTGACAGGCGAGCCTCCGACTGATTTGCTGGCAGGCCTGGATTTCTACCACGCATCGCAAATTGTGATGCCCGGAGAGAGCCAGGCGACCGCCTTACCTGAAGAACACCCTTGAAGTCACCTGTGGTGTTACAGGTGTTTCGAATCAGAAGCCGCCTCACAGTAAAAATCCGAGGGCATCGAGTGCAGTGATCTGGTCTTCTTTCTTCCTCCTCAATGAATTTTCTGCAGTAAAGAAAGAGACAGAAGGAGCGCTAGGAAGGCACGGGAGAGCCCTGAGAGGTTTCTCTGCAGCCCCAGTTCCATGAATGAGGCAGGGTGCTTAGCCCGTGGTTACAAGGAGAACTGGTGCTGTTCCTGGAGCGTACCATGTGCCTTTTCCTGAGCGTAGCCATTATCTGTGTTTCCAGCTTGACTCCAGGAAAGGGAGGGAGGGAAACACCTGATCTCTGAGCTGCAGACAGCTAGAATTTGAAAAATGCTTCATTGGTAGATGGGAAGAGAGAGAGATTCTGCCGGTCCTTATGCAAAGAGCTCTTAACTCCTGAATAAACCACGGGGGCCCCAGGGGTCCTTTGTCCTGCAGTCAGCGGCCGGCCCTTCGAAGCCCAGTCTCTGCTCCTGCTCCTGCTCCTGCTTCCAAGGCCAAAGTGGGGGGCAAGTGGAAGGGCTGGGGCTGGGGCTTGGGCGAGGCGGGTGGTGGCGCTGAAGGAGCCCCCCGCCCCCTTCCCCATGGAAGCCGCGCCCCTGCTGCTCTGCGCCGCCCCCAGCTCGCCCGCCCCGTTCCCGCTGTGCCACCCCACGCCTCCGGCTGGCTGCGCGCCTGGCAGGTGGAGGCAGCCCGAGAATCACGCGTGCTGGGCTCCCAGATTGCTGGCCCCGCCGTCAGCGACGTCATCCGAGCGGCACCGTGCCAGCCTGCGTTGCGGCACGCGGGGAGCTGACTCAATTAAACTGCTGCTACGCGGGGTGTGGAGGCTTACAAGCTGGGCTCCAGCGCGCGTCGGGGAAGAGCTGAGGGTGCCTGGTGCGAACGGGAGGGTGTTGCAGAACAATCTGTTGGCGCAGATGCTCGGCTTCCCATGACGCTTCCAGAGGCCTTGCGGTGCTCGGGAGCAGGATGCACCTGCGATGCTCGCATCGCGGCAGGAGGGCACGGCCTGGAGCTGAGAGCAGGTGAAAGCTTTGGCGCTGGCTGCGGCTTGGCAGGGTGTTGCGGCCCACCACCACCAGCGAGGCTGCCCCAGGGGGCTTGGATGCCCCGCATCCAAGCGTCTCCCTCTCCCTTTTGCTTATTAACACAATGCAAGCATCACGGGATTTTTCTCTGCCAAAGCCCCATTGAGACGGACAGCACCCGCCCTGAGTGATCCCCAAAGGGGGGGGTGACCAGCGAGCAGCCCTTGGACCAGCCCAGAGCATTTTGGCCGTCGCGGCATGAAATCCAAAGGGTGCCCTTGGTCCTCGCAAGGATAAAACCAGGCTGCAGATGGGCGGTATTAAGCTGCTCCTTGCAGAAGCTCAGCCCTGAGCAGGCAAAGGGACGGGAGGCCCGTTGGTGGCTGTCGGAGGGACTAATGCTCTCTGGTCCTTTCCCCTAGACAGCTGCGTGGAACCCTGAGCCTCTGCATCATCATGAAGCTGCTGGGAAAGATGCAGACGCCAAGACTCCACTGGCAGGACGAGGTCCAGGTGAGTGTAGGAAAACGTGGGAAAAGGGAGGAACTGGTTTGGTCCCAGTTGCATCAGGCGTGAGGTTTTGCCAGGCCTCTCCCAGCCCCTTGGGCTATTGGAGATGGGCTTCTCTGGTGAGCAGGGTTGCCCTATCATGCTGCGGAGCCTTTCCAAAACAGGTGAGTGGTTTCAAACTTTCTGCTGCCGATGAGGACGTATCCCAGTTTGCTGGCCAAGAAATGGCTGGCCAGCCATCTGCCTCCTGCACATTGCAAGGGATTTCGGGGTAATGCGGAGCACTGCTGGGCCTACTGAGCTCCCCCATGAGACCAACAGCACCTCTCATGGCATCTTACTTGCTTTTACTGATCCTCTCATGAGCGTCCAAGAAATCCGCAGGTTTCAGTTCATCTCAGGGCTTCAACCTAGCCCAGCTTCTGGTGTCCCATGGAGAAGTGCAGGCAGGCCTTACCTCCATCTGTAAAAGCAAGGAACGCCGTGGCATTGTCCTTTCTCTTAAATGTTTAGTGTCTGCTTTGCCCTGGAGCACTCCGGCACGTGCCGCAGTTTCTGCCCCGGCGAGCAAAGCTGACCTAGGCTCAGAGAGCCTGCCCCAGACTGGGCTTCCGCGGCCGTTTGTGGCCCTCCAAGTGGTCTCGGAGAGGGACTTGCAGGCAGAAAGACCTGGGCCCGCACTGGAGCTTGGCTGCGCGATCCGTGCCCATTCTCGTCCTTCCCGGCTTCGGGAGCTGTGATCGTGACGCCGCGACCTCCGAGCACCATTTGCAGCTGGGCCTGATTAGGCTGAGGGGACCCCTGCAGGGAAAGCCGCCTGCTAGCGTGGCCGGGCATCCTCAGGACGGCCCAGTGTGAGGAAGGTTGCTCGTGGCCTCCTCTGTCTGCACACCCTTGCCATACGCTTCACTGAGTCTCCCCGTGCACAGGAGCGTGTGTGTAAATGTGAGGTCACAAGATCTGGCATCAGAGGGGCTGAAAAGTGTTCTTGTAGATGAGCTACACAAAAAGGTTTTGCCGTTAGAAGCCTCGACGTTCTACCAATTTAGAGGTGAAGCCTGTTTGGCTAATAATGTGAATCTCGCCTTCCACGAACACCCAGTGAGGTCTGCGGTTTCAAAACAACTGAATAAAAATGGCCACAGCTACAGTAAGTTAAAAAAATGCTGAAAATTGACTCCTTTGTACTTTTTACTTTCCTTTATAAAACCAGGAAAATTGAGAGCAGGGTTGAGGCTCTTTTGCGCGGGCTCAAGATCCATCAGCTGGGTCGATGCCGTTGTAGATCTGGCTTGGCAATGCCCAAATTTTGCTTGCTCGCAAGAAAGAGAACTCGTGGCTCAACCTGCCAGGGCAGGACCTCCCAGGAAGTCTGTCCTCTGCATCAGGGTTTGTGCCGGAAAGATGAAGCAGGAGTGTCCACACGGAGGGGAAGTTACACGCAGGCATTCGCCGGGCAGCTCTGTTAAGTCTCCTGCCTTTGCGTCCGGATTCCTGGGTTTACGGATCTTGCGACAACATGACACAGTGTTAACTCTGACCTTCAGCCAGCCCAGTGTTGAATCGCTGAATAATCCTTTGCGGGTGGACTGGTTTTTCGATGCAGAAATTCTCCTGCTCTGCAGGCATCATGCAATAGTAACGATTTTCCCTGGATTTTTGGCAAGAGCAATACCTGGCATTTGTGCGGAATGGTCGGAGTGCTCTCCGTGCGTCCTCGCAGGGATCTTTGCAGTAGCCCTGGAGGGTGGGATCAAACTCGGCCTCCTGCCGGGCAGGTGCAGGGAGGCGGTGGAGGAGCGCTCCCTCGCCTAAGGCCTCCCGGCGCGGTCGCAGCCGAACCAGGAACTTTCTGCTGGCAGCTCAGTCTCCTTGCTGCGACACAACACTCTGCTGTGCCCATAAAGAAGAATTGCATAAACACAGAGCCACCGCAGAAAAGGCCCTCCCTTGGGGAGCAGAGATTTCGGTCCGACATGACAGGTGCAGGCCACGTGTGTTCTAAGCCAGCCTTCCCCGACACGGAGGCTTCCCAGCAAGCTGGACTTCTGGCCCATGGCCTTCTCTCTGGTGAGCCTTGGCCCGGTTCCCCGTACCTGTGGGCGACGAACGTTTGTGCATCAAGTGTTGCATCCCCATCGCTGGCATCTCTCAGGTGGGGCTGGAGCCAGTGGCTGAAGCCAGAAACGGGCGAAGGCAGAGTTGGGAATGGAGCACAGGCCTCCCCACGGGTCCTTCTCTCCCCACAGCCCTGCCTCCCGTCTTGTGCTTCCCACTGCTCTTCCTTTCCTGTTCTCCCTTCTCTTTGTGCCCCCCCCCCCCCGCCAGCAGGCTTGGAATCTGTGCAGACAGGACCCCTCTTCGGAGCCCGAATGCTGCACAGGGGCACGTGCAAGTTATCGGGGGGCCGTAGGCTTGAAGGCCCCCCCCCTTGCTGTATGTGGTGCAGAGAAAGACATTAAGGAGACCTGGGTGTTCTGACTGGGGAAGGAATGGGTCAGCCAAGAGAGCCAGTGTCAGTCTTCCACAGTCCAAAAGCCAGCTCCGGGTTAAAAAATGAGTTGTTGGCCAGTGCTGCATCTGACCCCCCCCCCAGCCCCCCCGGCCCGTTCTAGCAATTGGATGTAATTTTGAAATGGTTGACTTGGCTTCTTCCAAAGCCCATTGCTGCGGAAACTCTCCCGGCTTCTGTGCACATGTGCCGAGGGAGGGCATGCAGGTGGGCGGCTTATTTTTGTATATTTAGCTCTGTACACGTTTAGTGAGTCATCCTGGCAACTAAGCTATTGTTTAAATATTCTCCAGGGCTTCTTTTTAAGGAAAAAGAATAAGCAATCAGCAGGCACAATGGAGAGCAGTGGGGCAGGAGCGGAGAGGAGAACTGACAGATCGCTTTCCTCCCCCTCCCCCTCCCGCGCTCTGTTGAAATGAAATTTCTGCTGATTTGTTAACATTCAAACCCAGAACGGGGTTATGCAGAGTTGGAACTGCTTTGGAGGCAGGAAAGCAGCGTTGCCGGCAGAGGGAAGACTCGTTTTTTTTACTGGGGCAAGTCTGCGCAGGGCTTGCAGGGCTGCCAACTCAGCCCGTCTCTGATCTGCGCCAGACGCACCACGGCAAGCCCGAGGCAGCCGACCTAAAGGGCTGGGGGGGGCGGGCGTGCTGATTTTTGCAGAGCCCGGCTCAAGTTTTCTGCTGTCATCGGCTGGAAACCCCGGAGCCAAGGCCTGAAGGAGTAAGTCGGAGAACCCACTCCACCAGCCGCCTCTCCAGGTTTCTGCCTGCCCAGCCCAGCCCATTCGGCTCTCATTCGCTTGCAAGTCCCAAGGCACTTGTCTTTTCTGGGGTTGAGCCCTCTGGCCAGAGCACCCACAGTCCCCGTGGGTCAGCTCTCGGCCTCGGAGCAGCAGGTTCCCAGCGCAAAATCTGGACCTGGGCACAGAAGCACCTTCAACCTAAAGGCAGAATTCCACTTTGGAGATGTTCTTTCAAGTGGAGGACAGGACCTGGAGCCACAGGGGCAGGGCCCGAACCCCAGAATATCAAAGATCAAAGCCTGTTGCATTTAAAGCTCTCACTACCTGCAGTGAAAGGCCTCTCAGCAGAAGAGCTGTAACCAGCCACCTCCAGGCTCCTGGAGGGATCCAGAACAGCTCCTGTTTTCCAGGTTGTTTTCCTTCTCTGCCCTCCTCTGTGTGCCATGACGTGGCCCGAAGGGGCACTGTGGCCTGGAGGAATTGCAGAAATACTCCAGCTTCTCGTTCTGGTTCATTGCACCTTGTCCAGGTAGTACGACTTTTCCCGCACTCTTAAAAGGGTGAAAAAAAGGCAGCAGAAATGCTCCGCTAGAACAGGAAAGCTTCGGAAGAGGAGAACTTGGTGGAATCTGCCCGCAAACCACATCAGTGAGCAATCGGGAGCAATCCGCCCTCAGTCTTGGGAGGGAGGCCTGTCATCCCTTCAGAATGGGGGGAAATCCCCGAAGCCAGGCACCCACCCAGTGCTTGGTGATTGGGGGAGGGGCGGAGCCAGTGGGGAAAAGCGTGGCCCCATGAGGGACCCCACAAGGTCAGAGTAGGATCCGCGGGGGGCTGGAGTCCCTGGGACAAACGCTCGATCCCAAGGAGTTAGGGACATGCAAATTAGCAAAACCCACGCTTCTCGAAACTCTGAATTCCACACCAAAAGTCATTCCGACCCACATCCCTATCAGGCTTACAAGCCCTTTAATTGTTCCTTTGTACAAAAATATGCATATTTTGGGGCCTGTTTTCCCAAGGGGGTACATCCCTCAGAACTATGCATTTTCCTCCTGCAGCTTAAAGCATGTTTGTATGTGTTCTTTTGGAAGTACGCCCATTCATGCACAGCTTTTGTTGGGCCACAAGTCACATGGCAAGCTCAGAAGTGTTCAGACTTCCACCACTGATGGCATTTGAATCTGCGTCCGAGACCAGAAAATGCAAACAGGGTAATTTCTGGTCTCAAAAAGGGGCACATGTACATCAGCCCCTTTGGATTCCCATCTCCACACTGCAGCTTTAGCAAAAATATTGTGGCCACTTAAGGGAGGAATGTAGAAACTATGGTACTCACATCCCAATTCCCGTAAACTCTGAGAAGCACAACGTACTTTGGGACCCAAGATTTGGCCTCTTTCAGTGTCTTGTCCATTATGTAAAGGCACCAACTGATCCCCCGTGTAAGAGCCCTGAGATGCTTCGAGCGGCCATTACACAGCCAGTAGGCAGGAATTCCTAGAGGAGACCAACCCTGACTGCTCTTCAGAAGGCCAGATGCTGAAGATGAAACTCAAATACTTTGTCCACCTAATGAGAAGGAAGGACTCCCTGGAGAAGAGTCTAATGCTGGGCACAATAGATGGCAAAAGAAGGAGGGGACGGCAGAGGATGAGGTGGCTAGACGGAGCCACAGAAGCAGTTGGTGTGAGCTTGGGTGGACTCCGGGGATGGTGGAGGACAGGAAGGCCTGGAGGAGTGTTG